TTCCTTACTTTGAGGATCATTACCTCCCATGGTTTGAGAGCAAATACAAATGTTGCCTAGGCCATGGCAGCTTATCTTTTTCCCAAAAAACGCACAAGCACAAGAAAGGGTTGATGGTGACAACATTGAACTTTACCTGAGCTCTGTACTTTCAGAAAACAGTGACATTAAGAAATCCCTCCAGAGGGGCTTCCCTGGTGATCCATTGGTTAAGAATCTGCCTGCCAATGCAGAGGACACAGGTTCAGGCCCTGGTCCGGGAAGATCCCACATGCTGCAGAGCAACTAAGCCTGTGTGCCACAACTACTGAGCCTGTGCTCTAGAGCCCGCAAGCCACAACTACTGAAGCCTGTGCGCCTAGAGCCCATGCTCCACAACAAGAGAAGCCACTGCAATGAGAAGCCCACACACGGCAACAAAGAGTAACCCCCGCTCCCCACAACGAGAGAAAGCCCACGGACAGCAACGAAGACCCAATGCAGCCAAAAATAAAATTAATTAATTAATTAATTTTAAAAATTAGAAAAAAAGAAATCCCTCCAGGGACTTCCCTCATGGTCCAGTGGTTGGGAATCTGCCTTTCAATGGAGGGGACACAGGTTAGATCCCTGGTCAGGGAACTAGGATCACACATGCCGCAAGGCAACTAGGCCTGCACACCGCAGCTACTGAGCCCTCACTCAGGAGCCCGTGTGCTACAACTACTGAGCCCGCATGCTGCAACTACTTAGTCCACATGCCACAACTACAGAGCCCATGTGCTGCAACTACTGAGCCTGTACACTCTGGAGCCTGCAAGCCACAACTAAAGAGACTGCATGCCACAACGAAAGATCCCACGTGCCACAATGAAGATCACGCATGCCGCAACTAAGACCCGACGCGGCCAAATGACTAAATAAATGTTTTTAAAAAGAATAAAAAGAAATCCCTTCAACCTTTTAACTTTTTGTTTTCTGAAATCCCCCACCCTTTTATGTTCTGGGAAACAGTTTACCCAAAAGAATGACCCTTCTCCATGTGACTTAGATAAGACTGTCTGTCGACTCTTTCTCATGTCTCCCTGCTTGACTTGTGACTGTGACAAGACCAAACACGGATCTTTCCCCTTTCACCCAAACCTGTTGAGGAGGCCAGCCACAGACTCCCCAATTCCTCATTCTTTGTCTCGTGAATGATTAGCTGAGATTAGAACTATCTGTCTGCCTCAAACTAGCTAGACACAAAGATAAAAATTTCCTCTTCAGGGAACTGAGATGCTTCCTGATTGCAAAACAAACCCACCTGTGAATTCCCCCACCTGTAACCTGTCTACTCCTCCCTATAAAAGACTAGGGCAACACCACCCTGCCAAGAAACCCTGATCTTCGCATCTGGGGTGCTCTTCATATTGCAATTAACTGAATGAGGTCAATTTCCTTACTTGTTCAGGTATTCTCTTTGGCAATAACATCCACGAAAGGGCTAAGAATAAAAAAACAAAGTAAAAAAAGAAGAAAAAAGGAAAAAACTGATCTAAGCACACTGAGAGAGAGATGAGTCATAGAGCTACAAGGAAAAGGAAGGTGTAGTTGCCTCAAGTCACGTACTGTGGCTCATTAAACCTGTACCTCCGCAACTGGATTATTAAACCATTATCCATTCAGCTTCAGGGAAGAGGAACAGTGAAGGAGTTCATTAATTGATTTCTGGACTGAATTGAATGAAATCTATTAATTTCTTTAGTGCTAATCAGGGAGAAGTTAAAGGTTGAGAAAGGAACAAAAGCAGCCCCTGACAAAAGCTGCCCTGGCACTCACAGCTATGCCATGGTATTCGCCTGTTGAACATAATCTCAGACAAGGTTACTCAGAGACCTTGATAAAGTGAGACAAAATAAGGCCACTTGATAATTTTGCCTAGGCTACTGTGCCACACACACAGAACCAAACATCCTACTATCTTGGCTGAAATGAGTGACTGATGCTTCTTTACCAATTTCTGTTTTTCCTTGCTTCAGCCTGCCCTCCTTATGGATAAGATTTGAGATAGCCAAAGGCAGAATTGCCTTTGGCTGATGGCATCCAATTTAGAGAGAACCTTGCTTCCTTAGACCCTGTCCTAAGGCATCCTCTTACTGAGACATCCCATGCTGCAACAAGTAATTAACCCAACCTGTTTACTTTGGCTGGAGGACATCGACATGGTACCACGGCTAAACCACCAAATAATCCTAAAGAAATCAATGAAATATGTTTTTAAAAAATGTTTTTTGAGTTTGTTACAAAGCAAAAGCTATTAAAGGAAACAGTCACCAAGGAATCAGAACTAATGTTTGATCTCTGCTAGGGAACTGGTTTAATGACAGTAAACAAAGGACTCCCCTGAATGGAGGGCTGTGATGGGGAGGGCGGGGAAGGGCTCCAGGAACTGTGCACATTTACATTAATTGTCTTTGAGATTAGCATGCACAATAAATCAACATAACCAGAAAACTTTCTAGATCCTATTTCTACATTCTCATCTTCTGGAACTTCAGGAGCTGTGGCTCCAAGTTCATTATGTTCCTCAGTCTATCCTGAAATCCATCAAGAGAGAAGTTCTCTCTGTGCAAGGCTCACACAACCAAGAATATTAGAATTAGAATATTACTATTTTGCAATCCCTAATGAAACAATGGATCTGGAAAGTGAGCATCATTGGCTGTTAAAACCATTAGGTGAATTGTTATTTAAATTCTTAGTCTGTATCAGGTATGAAAACTATAAAATCCATGCATGGTGACGAAAACTTGCTGTTTCTTAATATTCATCCACATTCCTTAGTTTAGCTGGTACCCAATGCCTGGAATAGAGAATAGTTCCCTGGCCTCCCTGGCAGTAAGTTGTGGTTATGTGACTAAGTTCTAGTCAGTGAAATGAAAGCAAAACTGCACGTGGTAACTGCTAGAGCCTTTCTGTCAACCCTTGCACTCTTCAACTTCATAGCTTCTTCAACCCTGCTGCCTAGATTAGAACGCAGACACCTTGGATGGCGAGTCCAGGCTATGCTCAGTGTAAACAAGAGAAAAGACAGCTGCGTCTTGGACATCAAGGAGCACCATACAGCCCTAAACTGCCTTCCCTGTCTTTTACATGATGGAGAAGTAAATGGGGAAAGCAGGAAGCCCAGAGCTGGCTGAGCCTGGAGGGGGAAGGAGAGGGGAGGAGAGGGAGAGGTGGGGAGGAGGGAGAAGAGGGAAAAGACAGGAAGCAGGGGAAAGGGTACAGCGGTGGGCAGGACAGGGAGAGGAGCAAGAAGGGCGACAGGAGGAGGAGCTGGGCCAGCCCTGAGGTCTAAGCAACTGTTCTGCTTGCGCTTCCTGGAGCCTTGTAAGAGCAGGTTAAATTGGAAACTATTAACTGTGATACTTTCTACAGAAAACTAATTCAAAATTATGGCAATAATAAGGTGCTGAGCTCATTATCTCAGGAATGAAGGCCATAGCTAGGTTGGACTCAGGCAGGGCAGGTTCAGGAGGGCTCTGGCTCCACACAATCGTTTACAGCTTCAGGTATCACAGTTAAGGCAGAACATTGCTCAGAGGAAGAAGAGGGATCTTCTCCCATGGCCCCTTCTTAAAAGTGAAGAAACCTTTTCCCATAAGCCTCCCTGCAGACTTGCCCTCCAGTGTCACTGGCCAGAACTAGATTATATATCTATTATTAGAACAATCACAGGCAGAGAATAGGATCATCATGAATAATACACCATTCATATTAACTCGGGTCTATCTCCAGAACTGGGGACAAGATCACCTTCCCCTTAGTCACATAGGGGAGAGACAGATACAGGACCACTACTTCTGGTGGGGCAAGTTGTGCAGTACAGGACTCCAGGGGGCCCCACTCACACTCCCACTCATTGTCATTTGTAAAGCTATTATGACAAGTTTCCAGCAGGTGGCAGTGAAGTGCTTGGAGAAAGGCCGGCTTTTTCTGATTCACACCAAGTCACAGTGAGGTGATAAGGTAGGTAACAAAAATCAAGATTACATTAGAAGGGAGGTGGGGATGAAGGTGGGAGACGAGTGCTTGCTTGGTAGGTAATGAGAGTCCTGCAACATAAAGTAAATAGTCAAATTCATTGTAAACCTTTTAAAAGTATGTGTGGTAAATTCTATTTTAAGGAAATAATTCATTCCAGATTTAAGAGAAGTTTTAAAAATCTTTATTCAATAAATTCTAATGTAGTTACTCCGAAGGAAAAAAAGAAAACTGGACAGATATTCTAAATTGAAAATCATTATGTTTATCAATAAGAAGTTTTTAAAAATCTGTCAAGATTGATTTCTACAAGAGCAGCAGCATTCATACAGCAAAGACCCTACTTTCTCTATCAAATGATTAAGGTATATAGAAAATTACGACACCTTGAAAAAAGATACCAATTGAATGGATGAAATATTATTACCAAAGATCAATAACATTATAAGGCATGATTAATTTTAAGAAATCTGGGTAGGGAGGGTGGGAGGGAGGGAGACGCAAGAGGGAAGAGATATGGGAACATATGTATATGTATAACTGATTCACTTTGTTATAAAGCAGAAACTAACACACCATTGTAAAGCAATTATACTCCAATAAAGATGTAAAAAAAACATAGAAATCTGAGCTTTAAAGAAAGCTTTAAATTTCCTTTACTATTTCTGTCATGTATCCACAGAAAAGGAAAATATAGTTAGAACTAAACAAGCAAACAAAGGAAAAAGTTCGCAATACAGAGTGATATGTCAGGAAAAATATTTTAAGAGAGCCTGGGTAATCAATTTTCTTGTTGCTGTAACCTCTACCACCTTCTCTAATAACAAAGCAAAATTATACAAATAATTATGTGATATAAAAATGGAAGTTTTTAGGGCTTCCCTGGTGGCACAGTGGTTGAGAGTCCGCCTGCCGATGCAGGGGACATGGGTTCGTGCCCCAGTCCGGGAAGATCTCACATGCCGCGGAGCGGCTGGGCCCGTGAGCCATGGCCACTGAGCCTGCGCATCCGGAGCCTGTGCCCCGCAATGGGAGAGGCCACAACAGTGAGAGGCCCACATACCGCAAAGAAAAAAAAAAAAAAATGCAAGTTTTTTTAGGATCAGTTTACACTGTGGGTCAATAATATATGCAACGTGTGCGATGAAATGGAATTCCTTTCATATCTTCCCTGTGATCACGGGCATAGTCCCATAAGAAATAATCCAGAAGAATGGAATTGATCTCTCCACTAGTTTTTTCATCCTTTTTTTCAGTAAGCTCCAGAAGACAATCCCGGATCAGCTCAACGCACCAAAGTGAACACCCTCTGATTTCCACCTCTTGCCTATTCCCATACGAAAGCACTTCTCCTGAAAGGGAAAAAAGACAGAGCAAGAAGCACTAATAGTCAATGAAATGAAATCTACTCAAAACTTTACTATAGGACAAAACACAGTATTTAAATAGTACTGATTTTAAAATTGTAAATCTCAGATTTATTTTTGGTAATTTAAACCATTTCTAAACTCAGGCATTAATTCAAAATTGCAAGTTAAGTTCCACAAGGACAAGGACCATGTCCGGCTTAGTTGTCTCAATATTCCTAGGACCTAACCTAGCACCTTGCATATACTAGCTCCCCAATAAATAAAAAGTATGGGGTAACCATACTTTTTTTTTTTTTGGCTATGCTGGGTCTTTGTTGCTGTGTGCAGGCTTTCTCCAGTTGCAGCGAGCGGGGGCTACTTTTTGTTGCGGTGCGTGGGCTTCTCGTTGTGGTGGCTTCTCTTTGTTGCGGAGCACAGGCTCTAGGCACGCAGGCTGCAGTAGTTGTGGCACACAGGCTCAGTAGTTGTAGGTCGTGGGCTCTAGAGTGCAGGCTCAGTAGTTGTGGCACACAGGCTTAGTTGCTCCGCGGCATGTGGGATCTTCCCGGACCAGGGCTTGAACTCGTGTCCCCTGCATTGGCAGGCGGATTCTTAACCACTGTACCACCAGGGAAGTCCCTAACCATACATTTTAAAGTATGACAGCAAGATTATTAAATTACTTTTAGAGAGGATTTAAATTTTGGGTTTAATGTCAGGAAAAATAAAAACATTATTGCAAAATGTGGAGGACTCCTAGGGGGCCAAATAAACAGTACCTCCCTTCCCCACTTAACACTGTCTTGGGGACATGCCAGGTACATCAAGGAAAACCTAGGAAATCAAAGTTCTTAGCTTAAGCAAGGAAAACCATCATCATTCTTCGGATTTAGGATCCTTGAGAGCTTGTTTGGAGGTTCTAGCAGGGGAGTGCAGCTACTCGTATACCTTTGACCAAAGAATGGTCCTCCTCTATCAGGGAAGGTCGTCCTCTTCCACCAAGCGTGCAGCTTCAGGAGGGACGCACATGGAGCAGTGAGGGAGGAAGGGGACACCCGCCTAGCCAGCCAGATCAGCCGAATCAACCCTGGCCATCAATGGGGTGACAGATGTCACAGCCAGATTGCCCTTACATCCTGGATTCAGGATCCTTTAGTCAGCTCTGCCTGAATATGGAGCCGCGAGCTCCTATAGGACCTGCAGTATATTCAGCGCCCATCTCCAGGGTATATCTGATCCTGCAGGGTGGGCGCTGGCAGTGCTTTGCCAGGGAGACTAGAGCTGGGCTCATCAACTCAACTGCCTATAAAGATAAGCCAGATAGAGTAAGTGGATGCAGCTGCCAGATGCAAACTGTGGTGAGCTACAGAGCACGTGCTGCCCCGTGTAAAGGTAAACCCAATGTACCTATATTTCTCTACTCTTACAAGAGAAGCCAGAAAGTTGACTTTCATGTGAAATCTCCTATTTGTCAAGTGCTGATAACTAATTAAAAATCACTTAAAACACTGTTCAAGCCAAACAAAACACATCTGCAAGCTATATTTGGCCTCTGGCCACCAATCTGTACCCTTGCACAGAGCTTCACAGTACCTGAGAGGCCCTGTGATCCACTGAGACCTAGGGAGAATACCCTAGCCCCCTTGAGTTCCACTCTGTCACCTAGGATCTTAAATAGTGTCCCCTCCATCCATCTCTCCCTGATCCCTGGGGCAGGTGGAAGAACAGACACTGGCTGTGTCCCTCCATTTCCTTACTTTGCCCCAGGTGCCAGCATACAAATCCATTCTTCAGTTCTCTTGCTAATCAACTCCTTCAAACTTGACTATCAACTTGCCAGATTTGCCAAATCAACCATGACAGTGAATTTGGAGGTAGGTACCACACCCAAGTGGAGCCATTAGATAAGACCACTGCCCCAGCTAACAGCTGGACTGCAACCTTGAGCCAGATGCACTCAGTTAAGCAGCACCCAAATTCCTGATCCACAGAAACTGTGAGATAATGTTTGTTACTTTAAGTCATTAAATATGAGCATAATTTGTTACACAGTAACAAATAACTGTAGAGTTGAACTGTGTTTCCCCCCCCTCCCCCCCAAAAAAATACATTCGAGTCCTAACTCCTGGTACCTGTGGATGTGGCCTTACTCGTAAAGGGCCTCTACAGATGTAATCAAGTTAAGATGAGGTCATAACTGTGTTAGGATGGGCCTTCAATGCCATGACTGCTGTCCTCATAAAAAAAAGGAGAGGATACGAAGAGACAGAGGAGACACACAGTGAAGAAAGCCGTGGTTGGAGTGATGCAGCTACAAAGCTAAGGAATGCCAAGGACTGCTGGCAGCCACCAGAAGCTAGGAAGAGGCAAAGAAAGATTCTTCCCAACACCCTTCAGAGGGAGCAAGCATGGCCCTGCAAACACCTTGATTTCAGACTTCTAGCCTCCAGAGACATGAGAGAATATATTTCTGCTGTTTTAAGCCATCAAGTTTGTGATAATTTGTTATGTCAGCCATAAGGAAACTAACAAAGTAACTAACACAGCAACTTACAGTATGGAATAGGACATGGACTTTGAAACAGAAAAAGAATGAAACCATTTGAGAGGACTGACATAGATTAGAGTCAGGGAAGGTAACTTGGCCAACATATTAGGCCTAAAAGTCAGCCTTAGAATCACAATGAAGAATCTAATTTAGCCAAACTGCATTGTCAGTCTTTATAGCTAGCTAAAAAATATGCCTTTGGCGAAGAGATGGGCTAAAGATAAAATGAACAGAAATCTAGGTAGGTAAATGAACAGAAATCTAAGTAGGTCTTCCAAGGGCTGCCCTACCCAGAAGAGAAGAGAAGAAAAGAATTATACGTGTAGCATATCCTCAAGTTTGGAAAAAGTATCACTGGATATCAGTTAAGGAAGTTTCTACCTCATCTAATCAAGCCACCTGGTTCTAGATTTCACTTAAGATAATCTTTAGGGACTTCCCTGGTGGTCCAGTGGTTAAGACTCCATGCTCCCAATTCAGGGGGCCCGGGTTCAGTCCGTGGTCAGGGAACTAGATTCCGCACGCTGCAACTAAGAGCTCGCATGCTGCAACTAAAAGAGCCCACGTGCCGCAACTAAGACCCGGCGCAGCCAAATAAATAAATATTAAAAAAAAAAATTTTTTAATCAGTGTCCTAGACTTATGTGTGCTCCTTTATATTTATAGGTTCTATCAATGTTTCTCCTCTAGTTGCTAGTAAAGTACTTTTTGGGGAAAAAAAAATTCCAACTTTGCTTAAATAAACTAAGAGGCAAGGGAATTTGCTCCCCCTATGACAAACTAGCGAAGGATAGTTTGAAGCTGGATGTAATAAGAGGCAGTAACAGCTGCAGCTGGACATTTGGAAAAGAGCCTCTGGAGGTGAAATGGATGGTAGAAGAAAATTCAGACAACTCTGTACAACTGTGCTGGGTGATCCCTTCTCACCAGAGTTTTTCTCACAGTAGCAGAGACAACTGAGTGCTCTAAAAACTCAGGAGAAGGAGACAGACAAAGCATGGAGAGTTAGGAAAAGCTATGTGGAAGAGGTAACAATTGAACTAAGCCTTTGTGGATGTGTAGGATTTGAACTGAAAAAAAGAAAATCTGGGTGAGGGAAACCAAGCAAGAGAGTGTTTAGAGATAGGAATAAACATTCTATACATTGGCCAAAAAAAAGATCAGCTGAATATGGCTGTATGTAGAAGCCCTGACTGCTAAATGTTGTCCCTTTTAAAGGTGTCCAACAATTAATGACCCCAGACATGAGCATTGTGACATAAAATAGCTTGTTATTTTTCAAATGAGGAAATGGGCAAAACAGATTGCCCAAGGCTGCATAAAAACCTGGTAGAAGCAATCATAGGAATAATGGTACTTTTATATCCTGTGCTATTCTTATTTTGGGTGATTGAAATCTATTTCACAAGAGAAAATTATTCAATCATAAAAACTACTTCTTTTAAAAATAAAGAAAAAAGTAGCTGAAAATACTGTACCTAAAAGAGAAATTAACACGAAAATTGTACAGTATAATTATTTTCCTTATACAATGAAATGTTTAAAAAACAAAAAGCTACTTTTCATACAAACACAATTATCTATACTCACATATTATAATAAGGCTCCCACTTTTGAGAATCAATAATCAAACCCAATAATGGTAAATAAATAAGCCTAGGAAAGTGAGTGACTTGTGCAAGATAAGCCAGTGACAGACCTTGGAGCCTCCTAATGCAAAATCCAGTACATATTACCTATCTCTCAGCCCACCTGTTTTTTTTTGTTTTTTTTTCTCCTGTACGCAGGCCTCTCACTGCTGTGGCCTCTCCCGTTGTGGAGCACAGGCTCTGGACGCACAGGCTCAGCGGCCCTGGCTCACGGGCCCAGCCGCTCCGGGGCATGTGGGATCTTCCTGGACTGGGGCACGAACCTGTGTCCCCTACATCAGCAGGCAGACTCTCAACCATTGCGCCACCAGGGAAGCCCTCAGCCCACCTTTTATTTCACAGTGTAGTGTGCTCTTCAGCTTAGCACTCTTTAAATACAAACCTGAACTGTCTTAGTGTTGCACACCTTCACATGACATAAATTTAGGTTTCATTTTATTATAAGACTCTGAAATGATGATGTCCAAATAGTGTGATTTCCAACAATATCTATATTCCACACTGTAAACAACAAAAAGCAATTTTCTTTGTAATTTAATTGCCCCTGCATTCTTCTTTACATGTGCTTTTAACAGTAATAGTGTTTTGTTTTGTTTTTTAAGGAAAGAAGACCTTTTGTGAAAGAAACTAGACAAAGACCCAACATATAACAAAGAATGGCTTAATTAAGCTGGCAAACCTTTGAGAAGTTTCTCCAGTAGTTCGTCAGAGTATTTCAGGGCTCCCAGGTAAACAAGAACCTGAGGTAATCTATAGTCAGCAAACATGGTGATTCTGGAGATGTCCTTAAAGCAGCCGTCTCCTTTTCCCTCTAATACACTCCACGTATCTGCCACAAGGATTTGGGCCCGTTTGTAAAAAGAAATTCTTTTCCCCTGATGAATGAGGAGAATATAAATGTTACCTGGGTATGTGAAAGCTTTATGTATGCTATTAAAAAAAGGCACACACAGAAAACATTTTTCAAGGGTAGAATAATCTTACTCTTTGGTAAGAAATTATAGGCCTTTTACAGAAAAAAAGAAGGGGTCTAATAAATACTAAGTTATCTCTATCACTCCAAATTTACTTCCTATATTTTTCAAAGCACATAAAATACAATTTATGTAATCATGGCACTATTTAGTGTTCTTTTTCAATGGCATTACTTCATATACATATTTCTGTGTCACTATAATCCACCTGCTTGCTATTGTTAAGGGCTAGATAGCATTTCTTTAGAAAGTTTAAGTTAAAAAATATATGTTTTTCTGATTGCAACATAATTCACATTAATTGTATAAAATATGGAAGAGTATAAAGAAGAAAATAATCATTCCTAAATTCACCTCTGAAGAGAATTACAACATCCATTTTTTAATGTTTCCTTTCAGATAAAATGATTAACTTATTTCAGAGATAAAGACAAAACTGATCAGCAGCTATAATTTATCAAGTCTACCCTTTTTGGAAATGGTCCAAGTTAATATGTAAGTCCATATAACAAAATTAGTTACCAATTATATTTATACATGGAAGAAACAAATTTAACCAGGCATTATAAGATAATGGGTCATAATTTAACTCAAAAATTCTCTATAGGGACTTCCCTGGTGGTCCAGTGGTTAGCACTCCATGCTCCCAATGCAGGGGGCCTGGGTTCAATCCCTGGTCAGGGAACTAGATCCCACATGCCGCAACTAAAGATCCCATGTGCCGCAACTAAGACCCCGGTGCAGCCAAATAAATAAATAAATTTTTTAAAACTCTCTATAAAACTACAAATGCTCATTAGCTTTCACTATGGAAAAACAGATAATTACAGTCTACTCCTAGTCCTAACACCAATGCTAATAACCTCAAATCATCTTTTATAACTGCTAGTCTGCTAAATGTGAATAATCAGTATCACTGGCTCCCAAAATATATTCTGACCACCTTGGAGAATGTTTAAATAAGTAAATGACATAAAGAAGTAAATAAAAAATGAAATTAAATTCTTCAAGGAAAGACTCCATATAAAAATTCTTTAAGATGATAATACACATTCCTTTATTTACTAAAAAAACCTCCAATGCTACACTGTCCTAATGAGAAATAACCTAATATTCCTTAACCTTAAGGTATACCTCTTACAATCAATCCAGATTTACTTTTACTAAATAAACTAAATTTCATTTCTTTTTTTTTTAAACTAAATTTTCTAAGGCCACCACTAAAAAAGCAGGTATCTTGTTTTCTAGGGCAAACACATACACTCATTTTTTGACATAGTGTAAAGACTGTAAATTACAATGAGTGCTGGGGGAACAAATCACCACTAAGAAATATCCCTATATCGTTTGCTAATAATCTATATTCTCAAACCTATCAAAATATGACAACCTGGCAGCTGTTCCTCTATATACACTGGACTTATATATGGTAACTAGGTTTCTAATTCAAGTCTACTTTATTAAACAGCAAGGCATAAAACTTAATTGGCAAAATAAAACTGTTTCAAACAAAATTATTACATCATAATATTTACTATGATAGAAGCTATTGTCTCCTATTTTTAACAAGATTCATAGAGCAAACTGGAAAAATCTAGGAACCAGACTTATATAACAAAATCAGTGCTGGCATCTAACAAAACACAAATTGTCACATCATGAGCACTGTTTCCATGGTAGCCAACTAGTATCACAAGGATTAGATTATAATACCCTAAAATGAAAACAAAAACAAAAACAAATTCAAGCAAGGAATCTAAAAATAAACTCAAATCACCTATAAAACATTTTCTTAACAAGCTGATATGGTTTTTAGTAATGAAATAATTTTAGTAATAAAATTCTACATCTGTAAAATATTAACTGGTATCACTGAAAATACCAGTAAATCCCCAAATAACAATTACCCTATATTTCCATAATATTGCTTTGTGAATAAAATATTTTCAAAATAGTACCTTTATAAAGTAATTACCAGTGTAAAACTCTATAACCATGAGTTGATTTTCTGCAACAAACTTATTATGAACAAATTAGAAAGGTCAAAAATTACAAATGCTTAAGAGTAACATAAAATGTTATCAATTAAAATATCAGAAAAGCTCATGCTTTTCATGTATATTTATCAGTACATCAGCATAAAGGAAGCCAATCTATTAATTAGGACTTTTATATAGCTACTGAATAGTCTAAATCAGAGTCACTTGAAGAGCTTAAAAAAAATAGTTCTTTTACCCATAGATCAGAATCTTTGAGGACGGGGCTTTGGAAATGTATCTGAATTCTGAAGCTTCCTAACTGATTCTGGGGCACAGCCAGGTTGGGAAATCACTGATCTAAAACTGTCTCATTTAGACAAATTTTCTAATTTCATTAATTTGTTCATAATATCTAAAAGTGAATGATAAATCGCAGCAACTAAATAAACATTAAAAACAATTGTAACTATTTTTATGTAACTTGCTGAAGATTAAAAAATACAGCAACCAATACCATGACCATATTACGAAGGAGCAGGGAAAAGGGCATTCCAATACGCTGTGGCTGATCATCTTTCTGGAGAAGAGTTACCATTTTTATGTATCACAAGCCTGAAAATCCTGGCCATGCTCTGACTCAGTAATCCCATTACTAGGAATCCATCCTAAGAAAATATTATGGGTGTGAACTGTTGTCAGTATTGCTTATTATTATATAAAACGGAAAACAATAAGATACAAAATTTAATTTAAAAACTAAAACTGTGTATCACAATTATTCTGGTAAAATAGTTCAGGCAAATAATTATGGTAATGTACATCCATATGGTGGAATACTGTGAAGTCATTAAAAATAGTAGTATGGAAAAAAAAGTGTGCTGTGAAAGAATTTTTATTGACATAGATGCTCATAATATGTTAAATTTTAAAAGTTTGTATAGCATAACTCTCCCCCACTCATATGTATACACATTCACACACACAGAGAAAAAGACCAAATTGTGAATGGCGGTTACCTCTTGGCAGAATAAAGACTGCTCCTCTGTACCTTCCAAATTCTGTATTAATTTGTTTTACTTTTGCAATTAGAAAATTTTAAAATATGGATTAAAAGACATTTGATTTTAGCACCTTCTGAATTCAGAAGCAGCGCCCAAACTTAATTAGAATTCCTTTAGACTTGGAATTAATTGAGCAAAGTGCTCTAACTATTTATATATCTTTTAAATGAATATGCAAAAGTAACTGTAAATTAACTAATCAAAGGGTTAAGTGAGCACCCACTACATGCTCAGTGTTATGTTAGGAATCATACGGCTTTCAGAAATATAGTGCTTTTGTGTAACAATAATGATAATCTTATGAAAAAATACATGAAAAAATATAATACTCCTTTAGGAAAGTGTTAAAAGGTTTAGGTTTGATTTTTGTTACATTTTGGGGATATTTCTGTAAGAATGTATTTTAGAAATAAATACTGATGGGAAATGGTTCAGGTACTAATTTTCATTTAAAATGTATCAGCCTTAAAATTAATCTATATCCTGGTACAGTTTTTAACTGAACTTTTCAGCATACATAACAAATCAAAAGAAAGCACTATGCTGTAAATAAAAGAGAAATTCAACAAATGCTTACTAAATCAACACCATAATCTACCAAAAAAATCACTCCTTTCTTTCACAAAGACAAAAATTCAGGACAACTTGAAAGTAAATAAACTACATGGTGTCCTGAATTCATTCCATCCTGAAGTCATGTTAGATTTAATCTCAGCCCTTCTTGTACAACAACCATGTCAGTTCTGGAATACACAGAGTCTTAGCCACATTAATGGCAGTTTGATTTATTTTATACACTTTAATATATTTATAAATGGTCGGAATGATGGACCAAGGGACTTGATCCAAATTTCCTGAAAAACAAGGTTGAAATGACATACTTTGAAGACAAAGATAAATCTCAAAGTACCCTCTGCATTAGTAAAATTGTTCCTCAGAAGAGAATAAAGTTCAACAGTGGCCTAGGGCCTCTTTTCTAAGAACTGCCTCTATCCGGCCCATTCAGTCCTCGCCCAGGAGTTTTAGAACCCAGAGGAAGTTTCATGGACCTTTTCTACTTCATGGAGAAAGCTGGTCTGCAGTAAAGGAAAAATGGAGTCAAGAGAAACAAAGAAGAGAGACTGAATCCTGATGGCATTGAGTCCCTGATCCTGGATGTTTATCCCCAGTACCTATCCCCAAATTCTTTTTGCTTAAGTTTTTTCTTGTTTTGTGTCTGTCAGTTGCAATTAAAAGAATCTTAACATACATAATCAGGCATCTCTCACTTTACAGCAGAATTGAAAAGCTAGCTATTTCTTGACTAAATGACCTAAGATACACTAGTTAACCTTTCTTTTTTTCAGACTTTGGTTCTTGGTCTGCAAACAGGACTGTAATGTTCCTTGTCCCTAGGCCCCACAGAGTTGTTCTGTGGATCAAATGAGAGCGTCTGTGCAAACACCTTGTAAATCATAAAGAACGATTTGAACAATATTACTGGTAATTTTAGTTGCAGAATTGTGATTACAAAAGGGTAGCTTCAAAATTTTAAGTTGACACAAGTATTCATTAACTTAGTCAATAGATTTACATTATATGATCCCCCTGAAGTTGCTTTCAATTCTACGTCACAGTTAAAATAAACAGTGATAACAAATTCTAAACGAATTATACAAAAGCAAAATCCAGGTGTACACTGGGAGAGTACACAAAATGTTCACCCTTTTAAAAGAATGCCTATTTAAACTTTTTTGTACCATAAAGCAAATAATACTGTTAAAGTACCCTGTGTATGAAAAAGAAAACACACAGTATATATACATTAGAACTCTGCAAGAAATATTTTTTATTAGAGAGAATTTAGTATACATCCTGATTTTCATCCAATGAAGTAAATTTTTTGAAGTACTAAAAGGACCTCACTATCCCTAAGTGACAACATCATGTTGAAGGTCTAGTGTTAATTCAGGTTTGAAAGATTTTTAAAGGACAGAATAAAGAGAATACACTGATTAGAAAACATTAAGAAAAGTAATATCTTTGAAACACTACTTAATAATTTTGTTATTGTTCCTTTGTTCCACATGGAAAAAAATTCCAAAATTTAAATTTTTATTCTCAAAAGGAATTCTGGAAGTAAAAGAGTTAACTATGAGAAGATAATTAAAGAACTCTAAAATGGCCAACAGGGGCTTCCCTAGTGGCACAGTGATTAAGAATCCGCCTGCCAATGCAGGGGACACGGGTTTGAGCCCTGGTCCGGGAAGATCCCACATGCCGCGGAGCAACTAAGCCCGTGCGCCACAACTACTGAGCCTGCGCTATAGAGCCCGTGAGCCACAGCTACTGAGCCCGTGTGCCACAACTACTGAAGCCCACGCGCCTAGAGCCCGTGCTCCGCAACAAGAGAAGCCACTGCAATGAGAAGCCTGCGCACTGCAACGAAGACCCAATGCTGCCAAAAAATAAATAAGTATATTTTAAAAAATAAAAATAAAAAAAATTAAATGGCCAACAGAAGCAACTCACCTCAAACTGAGTCACATCTCTATAAGAAGGAAAGCTTTCAACTACTAGGTGCAATAACTTCTGAGCACTTTTATCACTTTTTCGGACACAATTAAGAAAAGAGCCTTCAAATTTCTCAAGCAGAATTTTCCCGGTTTCATTGAGAATCCGATGCCTCTCTTCTATCAAAGGCATGGGGACGTCTGTGTCAGAACGAAGTATATGCCGAACCTCATCCAGGGTAACTGTGGCATAGTACGAAGCACTAGTTATTGGTATCCCTTGGGGAGAAAAGAAAAGGCATTGGAACAACGTCATACATTTATATTCATTAGGCCCTTGCTATTGCAACACAATTAAAATGAAACCACATAATTGTTAAAGGAATGCATAATTGTTATAGGAATGCAGTAAAAGCGGATGAGTAATTAAAAATCAGAAGCAGATACCTCATTCTCTATTTGCTTGTCTGTATTTATTCATCCACTTCTAACAATTGTAATATTACATCAGATGGATTTTGACTGTGTAAAATGTGTTATAATTTCTGCCCTTTGTTCCTCAGATGCCATCAAAGTGGCATTCTTTAGAAAACTGACTTTGACTTAGCTGTGACAATGATAAATATTAGAATCATTTCCCACTGAATAAAGATTTCATGCCAGCCTCTTCTCATACTTTTAAGCAGAGGTACCGGCAGTGAAGAACTTCAATTTCGCCTTATCAACACATTATTCCATCTCCCAACCCGCTCTGTGGGACCCTCCCACTAAACTGAAACCTCAAAGCTGCTGGGTCTGACCGGGAGAAGGGGCACCAACCTTCGTCCAGGGCTCTGTTGACCGCGGCGCACAGGGACCAGTACCCACTGTACGTTTTCCCCCCGTACCCCACCAGACATCTGTGCTCGTCACTCTCCGACCAGAAGGAGAAGTTGAGCGTGTCTGTCACGAACACCCAGTTAACGGCGGCCTCGTCGGCCGCCTTGGGGTTCAGCTCATGAAGGGCCTTCCAGGCCCCCACGCGCAGCTCGGGCCCCGCGGCCTTGGCCAGCAGAAGCTCGGCCACCCTCCGCACGCCTCCGCCGTCAATGAACACATCTCGACTGTTCTCCGCAATGAATTCTGCGGACTCCCTGGGAGTCAGAAGCCCGTCCATCCGCCCCTCTCCCGTGTAAAGGGAACCGACGCTTTCGCCCGCAGGCCGGCCAAACTCTCTTCCCTCTCTAGCTGGGGCAAGGGCCAGGGTCCCCTACGACTCCTCCTCCCTTTCCACCGCGGGATCGCTGCCCTAAAAGGCTCCCGCCCTCTCAGAGAGGCTAGCAAAACCGACCGGGCCCGGCCCCGACAGCCGAAGCCGTACCAGACTGGGGAACTGTGCATACCGCTGCGCTGCGCAGCGCGCCAGCCCGAGGCCAAAGGCACTTCCGGGAGGGTGGCCCCGCCCACTCGCGCCGGGGCGCACTCCCGGGACCCGCTTCCGCTTCTGAAGGTCTGGAAAGCGCCTCGAAGCGTCCGGGGCGCCTTTGCTGGGAGTTGCCCACTCCGAGACGTGGGGCTTGGCCGTTTTGCCCGTGCTCCCCCCTCCCTCGGGCAGGTGGGCCTGCGTCCGCCGCCGTGGCCCGAGTCGTGATGATTCCAACCGGTGTACTGCGTTGCCCTCACTCGGCTCCCGCCCTCCTCTCTCCACGGAGGGCAAAGTCTAGGCAAGATATCCGTGGCGACGCCCTGCATCCGGCTTCCTGGAACGCGAGGAGCTTTCTGGCCGCGGGTCTCGGTATGGGGGGCCAAGCCACCCCTAGACTACGACACGGGTTGGCGGTCCCGCCACCCCCACCCCCATGTCCCAGGCAGGCCACTGCTTCATTTTGCTGAATCCTGGCCCATTTGGAGGTTTAGGATTAGTTGGAATGTTTGGAGAAATGGATGAGGAAATAAGTGTATTAAATCGTTAAATTAATACTATGTGCCTGGATTTGTGCTTAGATACCGAATCCCATGTAGTCTGCGGCCGTGTCAAAAGCAGCAATCGTAATCCCTATTTGTGCAAGAGAAGCTGAGTGATTCAGTGCTTACTTCCTGGTCATGGCAGTGGTCTGGGCTGAGATTCCATCTCCAAGTCAAAGGCACTTTCCACGAACCAAGCTCACCAGTGCCAACCATCCTGGTCAAGTAAGGGACTATGTCAGTGGCTCTAATCAACTGAAGAGGCATTATTATAAAATATAAGTATCACCTTACAGCCCCAAACTTAAAAAAGCAAAACAAAACAAACGCACACAAACCTTCTAGTAGTATAAGGAGAGAGGTTTAGGAGTCAGTTTAGTGATGATCCAAGTTTGCCTCGTGATGAAATTTTGGTATAGAGGCATGTATTTTTTTCTCCTTCAGAGACTTAAATCTCCATGGATCATATAAAACGTTCACATCTTTGAAAATCACCCATTAAAAATAATCATCAGTAGTCATCTCTAGTTATTGAATTGGGGGAGTATTTGGAACTTTAAGTCTGACAACTGTGCCTTTAGAGAAGCAGAACACCTTCATCCCTGCAGTTTCTTCATTTGGATAAGAAAAAGGAATTTTAAGAGCTTCACTACGATTTACTCTTCCAGAAAAAGTAACTAGTACAGTAATACGGTTGTTGAATAAATGTCAACCTGTTGACTACCCTAGCAGTTGTAAGTCTTGGGAGTCAAAGAAGTTGATTAGTAGGGAGTTCCCTGGCGGTCCAGTGGTTAGGACTTGGTGCTTTCACTGCCACGGCTCCAGGTTCAATCCCTGGTCCGGAACTAACATACCGCAAGCCATGTGGCCAAAAGAAAAAAAAGTTGATTGATTAACAAGAAAATTTAGCAATCTATGAAAGAATCCAAGAGGTTAAATAATTTAGGCCATTTTCTTATACTGAGGCTTGTTGACAAAAAAAAAAAAAAGTCAGGGCTTCCCTGGTGGCGCAGTGGTTGAGAGTCTGCCTGCTGATGCAGGGGACACGGGTTCGTGCCCCGGTCCGGGAAGATCCCACACGCCGCGGAGCGGCTGGGCCCGTGAGCCATGGCCGCTGAGCCTGCAGGTCCAGAGCCTGTGCTCCGCAACGGGAGAGGCCACAACAGTGAGTAGGCCCGCGTACCGCAAAAAAAAAAAAAAAAAAGTCAAAATTCTATGTTCAGGCTATTGAGTGAGACATAAGAGTAGTATAAACAAAAGTAAAACATGCTTCCTTCTCTCAAGGAACTTGTTAAGATAAAGCATAAACTTTTCGTGTATAAGAGTTGGTTTTTTTTAAAGTATGTTTGCAAGATGCTAGGAATAGAAAAAGTGAGTTCTTTACCTACTCAACATCCTTTCCCTCTTTCTTCCTTCCCAGCAGAATTCTTTTTTTTTTTAACATCTTTATTGGAGTATAATTGCTTTACAATGGTGTGTTAGTTTCTACTTTATAACGAAGTGAATCAGCTATACATATATATATGTCCCCATATCTCCTCCCTCTTGTGTCTCCCTCCCACCCTCCCTATCCTACCCCTCTAGGTGGTCACAAAGCACAGAGCTGATCTCCCTGTCCAGCAGAATTCTGACGTTGTTCAGGAATCTCTCTCTTACCCATAGTTGGTGTAGCACAGCATCCTCAGCTCCAGAGGTGGTCAGGACTGGTCTAAGGGTAATATTACCCTCTTGCCAGGGATTGGATTAGGATCATGCATGTTCCCCAGTTCACCTCAATGAGTTGCAAGGATAGGTTTGCAGGATGCTTCCAGAAAAGCTATTCCAGGAGAACTTCCAGAAGTGATTCATGCTCCTTCTGGACATGGTTGTTCTTGGATATGAGGCTTGAAATTGCTACAGTCTTTTTTTTTTTTTTTTTTCGGTACGCGGGCCTCTCACTGCTGTGGCCTCGCCCGTTGTGGAGCACAGGCTCCGGATGCGCAGGCTCAGCGGCCATGGCTCACGGCCCAGCCGCTCCACGGCATGTGGGATCTTCCCGGACCGGGGCACGAACCCGTGTCCCCTGCATCGGCAGGCGGACTCTCAACCACTGCGCCACCAGGGAAGCCCACGTCAACTCTTAAGTTTGTCTTACTTTTGGATTCCAGTTATCTGAGTTAATAAACTTCCTTATAGTTAAGGCAGTTTTGAGTTGGGTTTTCTATTATTTGCTATGAAAGCTTCCTATCTTAGGTAGCAAATACAGACATGCTATCTGACATCTTATGATCTAGTGGGGAAGGCAGACAATCAAATGTCTGGGTAGAATTATGCTTCAAGCAACAGAAAACCAGATTCTAGTGACTAAACAAAAAGGGGATTGTTATTCTCATATAATAAGAAGTCCAGAGGTAGGCACTCCAGGGCTGGTGCAACACTTTGAGAATGCCAGCAAGGAGCCAGGCTCCTCGCTTCCTGTCTCACTATCACTAGTATGTGGCTTTATGGTTGTAAGATGGCTCTACCCTTACAAGGCATTGTGTCCACAAAAAGAAGTAAAGGGGGCAAAGGGCCAAGGAAACATGCCAACTGAATATGTTTCTTTTGAAAACCTTTGCCAGAAGCTCTACCACATAGGCATAGGCTTTTGAAGAGATCAAGGGAGGGAGGCATGGTCAATGATGTTGTGTCCCTATCATTTTCCACCCCCCAAACAGTAATCAAGTTAGATTATTCCAGTTATCAAGAGAGCCATCATTCTGAATAGCTAAATTAAATGTCAAGCATTGGCAACAATCATTGCTACATCTGCTATTTTCTGTCATGATCTGCTATGGCAGATACTTAAAAAAGTGGGTTAAAATGTATTCTTGGGCAAAATTTGCAAAAGTTGGCTAGAGCAATGGATGAACAATAGACATTGCTAGAGAGCAGTAGTTTCTGATACACGCAGAAGGAGGAAATTAAAGAAGTAAAATGGATTTTGTGAAGGTAGGATATCTGTTATTTTCATTTCTCCTGACTCTCCCGAAGTGACCAATATACTAAAGCCCCAAGAAGGCTTAACAGAAAAGAGATATGGTTCACTACTATGTAATTTTTCTGTTCATTTTCTCCTTGATTTATCCATGTATAGCATTTAAAATTGATCACTTCCTTAAATTCACTCTTGGCTTCTAGGGCATTATATTATATTATCCTAGTTTTCTTAGTACCATTGAAGGCTCCTTCTCTTCCTCCTCTCTTCTTATTGTATGTAGAACGTCCCATCTACAGGCTTTGCTTAGGGACAGAATGGACTTTTTTTAGTGAAAACTCTGACTCTTAAATACTTCAACTTCTATTTAAAAATATGCAGCTATAATGGAATAAATATATCATTTCCATTATATATCATTAACATTCTCACTACAGTTCAAAACCAATTAGAATTTTTTTGAACCATAGTTTGCTTTTAACTAGTGAAATATTAATATTAACATTTCCTACTTTGGAGGAAGAACTAAGTATTATTGAAAAAACAGTACAGAGCTTCCAGATTGGTGAGATTCGGGGAGAGTAACATGCTGGGAGAGCATGGAAGCTCCATGCCCCTTCCCACATACCTTGCCCTATGTGTCTCTTTCATCTGGCTGTTCCTGAGTTTTATCCTCTTACAGTAAACTGATAATCTATTTATTTTCCTTGCTGTCTAAAAAACACAACAAAGTTCTGGAACAAGCCAGACAGTCGTTGAGAGGTTTGCTGAGTTCCAGGGATGTTCCTTTAGCAGATTACAAACAAGACTTAAATGTCATTGAAGAAATGATTTCAATGATATTAGAGATCATCAGTTCCTGCCTGCCAAATTCTCTTCACCACCCTCCAAACTTGGTGTATGCACTGCTTTGAACATGAGATCTCTTTGAACAATTTTGAACTCACCCTTCATTTCAGGATGTAACACAAAATATTGATCTGGTAATCACCTTCTTTAGCTCAAGGATGCTACAAGCTGGAGCTGAGCTGTCAGTGGAATGGGTTCTGGAAATCATCAAGCAAGGGGTTGTTGCACTGCCCAAAGACAAGCTAAAGAAATTTCCATAACTGATATTTAAATATGTGGAAGCAGGGCAGGGGAAGGGGGAATTGGATGAAGGCAGTCAAAAGATACAAACTTCCAGTTATAAGAGAAATAAGTACTAGGGATGTAATGTACCACATGATAAATATAATTAACACTGCTGGATGTTATATATGCAAGTTGTTAAGAGAGTAAATCCTAACAGTTCTCATCACAAGAGAAATAAATTTTTTTCCTATTTCTTTAATCTTGTACCTATATGAGATTATGGATGTTCACTGAATTTATTATGATAATCACTTCATAATAAAATTGATGTATGTAAATCAAATCATTATGCTGGGGACTTCCCTGGTGGTGCAGTGGTT